GGTGAGGCGTCTTCCCCAATACAATGTTTACCACTATCGCCACCTCGTAGAATAGATGACTGCTGATCCTCCTCCGAAGGAATCATTTCATCCGCCTCATATCCAATAGCAACACGGTCTATGTCTGAAACGCTCGTGTGTTGCATCGGATTCGGATATCCTTCTATTTCGGCATGTGGAGGAGCGAGGTTAACCTCACTGATCTCGTTGCGAGTCGCATGTACAGCATTTTCACAGTTCGTTTTAAGAAGGATCGAATCGAGTGATGTACGATTCTGAATCTGCCCATCAGTATTTTCACTTGCGAATAACTCTCTCTGTACCAGGAAATTTGAACTATTTTGTTCGAACTAATCTGATCTGTTCATCAGATCTAACGTTCCGGGATACAGTTGTTGGTGCTATTGGTGCACACCAGTAGGTACGACCGCCTGTTCCTTCCATTCGAAGCGGCTTCGATTCTTGCGACTGTCTCTCCTAGGATGTGGACGTTTTAGACCGGAGGATCGTGATCCTCCTGAGGTCCCCATGCAGATAGAGACCGCGGCGCAATTCAAATCGGGCGATAGGTATTTTTGCCGTTGGTTCGCAAACAAGTATAGTGCTTAAATCATTAGCACGCTGGCATACATGCAATTCGTCTAAATTTGAGGTATCGTATGCAACACTGTCTGCAGTCAACTTCAGTACTGCAGTTAATGGTGAATTGTCTAGGTTTCATGCTGCCCAGAGGATCAATGGGTACAACCGTATTGTTGGAAGTACTGAGTACTTCCAGCAATACGGTTGTACCCATGCCAGGCTGGCACCAGTACAGAAAAATGCTAACTATTCCGCGGGAAACCGGAAGAAAACTGCGAACTGTTCAATGTTCAACAACACATGATACACCCCACCCTTCTTAAGTAGCAAGTTGCACATCTTTGTTCACAGAACCAGTTTCGATCGAACTTGCCGATCTCCCCTCTTTTTGTTGGTGTTATCTTGCTGATCTTACTTGCTTATTTCTCCATACTCCGTGAAGCTTAATTGAAAGCGACATTCTGAGTTCTCCGATCATGCCCCTGGCACGCCCACTTGCATCGGCTGGAAGAGCGAATGGAAAGCGAAGGGTTGCTGTATCAGGACTCCAGCCGCGCAACCTCAAGCGTCAGACGAAAACAAACAATTTGCAGGCAATTTTTCCGAGAAAAAGGTCAAGCCCTCCGTTGGATGAAACTTGTGCCATAGACGAGGCTGCAACTAGGACGCCCCTCGAAAAACTGACACTCGCAGAACAAAATCAACAGGGCCAGCGCTCAACGGAAGCCCTGTACCGCGGACAGCTTGCAGGAACAATGAACGCCAAATCACGAGCTTTTTGGACATGGAAACGCAGCCACCGCCCAATGGCGAAGCATTTGTAGAAGAGGAGGAAGTTGCTGCTGAAATTGGAAACCGAGATCCGGACCATGACTCACCCCAGTAGGAACAGAGAGCATCAAGAGAATAGGTTCCTATTGAGGATGACGCGAATGACGAGAATGCACGCTGTGAAAACGCTGGAGACCATCCCTCTAGAGGGGCAGCTGAACACGTCAAAACTCGTGAGTTTTTCGGCCTGGGACAAGAGCACCTCAATACAGTAACTCTCAGGGGTGAAAGAATGACAGGTGTTCCGTCTCCTGCAATAGCAACAGCGCAGCACAGATTAAGCTTGAGGACTCCAAGCACATATGAGAGGAACTCGCCTGGGGAGAGCTCTATTCGGTTCTTCCTCGAAAATATGCAGAAATCCTTGCTTACTCGATTGGCTTCTGTTGAAGGAACAATGAAACACCTTCAGAGAAATGTCGAGAACGTGCGGAATGGAATGAACCAAGGCAATGATTTCTTCGGGACAAGTCCAAGCGTGGGATTGACTACCAAGTCGAAGAGAATTTCCAAAACTGCAACGAAATGGGCCTTTAAGGATATGGTTGACGACGAGAACAGGGCACTGAAATCGAATGTGGAGCTTGTTTTTGACACTTCATTAATGTCACGGGTCCTGTCAGACGCGTCATGTTTCTTCATGGAGCACACGTGGTCCCTAGGTGTGAATCTTGCCCATACTCACCTGGCTATGTCTGCGTTTCTCTACGGCCATCAGAATAGATCTACCAAAAAAGAGCTCGAGGCAGGTCTTGCTCGCGTTCACTGTGACTTTAAATTTCGCTTCGTGAGAACGTTATTTGTTCAGGCACGCAATCAGTTCGAACTTGTTCTAGAAAGTGAAAATGAGGCTACGCAGAGAACAAGAGCCGTACAAGGTGTTCCAGATGCCAATAACAACGAGAATAATCACAGAAAGAACGTGTCAATGCCTCAGCCGCGCGCGCCGTATTGGCTCAATCCGCGCTATGTGGGAAGAGAAGCTATGAAAAAAACTCGTGAGCCTGTTGAAACAAAAGCTAGACCGCAGAAAAAGGATATAGATACCGAAAAAGGTCGAGAAAGCTTTTACATTGTACACACAGTATACGCAATGTCCACCGACTTTTTGAGGGAGTCACGTGTAGCTGCAAAAAGGCACTTTTCCGAGGATCTGGGTTTCGCACTCAGATCATGGGAGGCGATCAGAGGCATATCCGTAGCGTTCGGTCAACCAAACGTGTCATTCAAGCATCCAGATGACATGTTCAACCTTGCCGATCACTTCGTCTCCGCAACCACAGCCGAGTTACCGAACGCAGATGCCATGAATTCGCGTTCACTGCAAGAATTGGCATGTTGTCGTCTCGAGCCTGATGTGCTGGTGGACTATTGTGTACTGATGGGAGATGTATTGCTGAAGAATGGAGGGCAGAAAAGCGAGTTCAGGCCAGCAGAGTACAAGCGTATGTATCGCACCATCAAACTAGTTCGCATAGCCGTCAGTTTCTTTGTGGCTTTCACGCAAGGCCGCAATGTAGAGGAATTCCTGGCCAGTCACACAGGGTCACTGAGGACTGTTTATAGGACTGCATTGCTTTTTCGTTGGTTTGTGCAAGATATCATTAACGGCCATAGACATCTTTCCATGCCATCCACTGCGCTAAATGACGAAAACGAGGTCCGTGTACCAGATGACTTCAGTCCGGATGCAGTTCGCAATCAACGCGGTGTACCCCAAGATGCAGAATATTCAGAACAAGGCAGCATGAGGGTTCGGCTGCGGCTCAGAGATTTCCTTCCTTGTATGTCCAAGCAGAAAGACGTCTTGGACGCCCAAATCTTACGAATGTCCCCGGCGAAGTTTTCTAAACTCTGCACTGATTCCCCTCCTGCAACAAACAAGCATGTGGAAAACGGAGACGCTCTTAATAGTAGTGCTCGGAGGGCTACCATCCCCAATGAGTGCAATGAAGACTGGGAAGATCGTTATGACGATGGCTTTGATTTTGGCCACTTACTTTATGCAGAAGGAGACTTGAGCATGGGAGTTTAACACGCTTGTGGAGTCCTCTACCAAAACCTACTCTACTCGTCTAATAAACATCCTCAAGTCGCGTGCGCATTACCGCCCAGGGGCTTTGCGTGAGAGGGCTGGCGATATCTGGAAACTTTCCGCTGCTGTGAAGTCGTAAGTAAGGAGCGCGATGGACACCAGAAAATTCGGACGAGAGTCCTCTTCTCTGTGCAGCGAGCCCTTTGTTCGTTTCTCAATCATTTTGCGGTGTACACGTGGCATATCAACTGTTGTATAACTGTTTTTGTTGCATTGCTGGGCACGAATGCTGTTTCACCGAGGTTCCCATCCACGCCGAGGCTCCCATCCACGCGAGCGGTCTTGCCTTGAGCGCACCATAAACCTTGCGCACCGCACCCTCTACCTACCGGTAATCCCCTTTCTCTCCGTCTTCGAACGAAAGAACTTGACGACACGTACGAGTGCAGTGCGACCCGCCTATCTTCATGCCTCCCTCTCAACTATCCACCGTTGAACGGCCTGCCCGTCGCCGTCTCGTCGACTACACCCTCACGTATTGGCAGCCGGCCTCATCGGCATTCGCCGCGTCCATCTCAGTCGACGACCTACCCACGCTCACGCTTCCGTCGGTGGAGGAAGCCACCGTTAGCAAATCGCTCACATGTCACCCCTGCGACCAAGTCTTCGCCACCGTCAACTAACCGTCCTTTCGAAATTTTTGCAACTGCGTTTGAGAGTTTAGTCGTATCAAATCGGCTGGTGCTACGCTGCGCCGACTCGGGGAGCAGGCTCTTCAGAATGAGGTCCATGCTTTTTTGCGCGAATGGAGTGAAGATCTACTTGCCGCACAATGTGTATATGATCGAGCCAGCAAGCGGGAGAGGAGGGTACGTTCCAGGACTTTCGCGACCGCCCTGTTGAGAAGTAGGATTTTTCCGTTTGAGATGGCGTTGCTAACATCACGATGTGTCTTTTGCACATATGCTTGCTTGTTTCTACATTATCGATAAGATTTATTGGTCGGTCGGAATGGAAGCCCGTTGGAAACCACGGAGGCACGAAATGCGCTTCGGAATATTCCGCTCCCTACAAGAAGGGTGACGTTAAAAGAAGCGAAGTGGGTTTACAAAGAGTTGTCTTTGGTCCGAATTTCGTCGACTTCATTAGCTGCTACAGTAGAGGCAAAGAAGTTGTTGAAGAAGTCGAAACCCGCGCCCATGCCGAAAGTTCCGAAGCAGGTGAGTACGGCAGTTGACAGGGGACCAAAAGAGAAGGGAACAGATCATCTCAAAAAGAGGGAGGAATGAGAAAAGAGAGTTGCGAAAATCAGTGAAGAGACGGAGAAAAAGGAGGATTTGCCGGTTATTGATCCTGCGACTGCACGACTCTTCAGTATATGCAGTGACCGTGCCCGACAGGAGCTTATAGATGCGCTGAGTAGTGATGACGCGATCAAGTCACGACGGAGCTGCACCGGACGGACTTTTTCCCCGGGCTGGGGTGGATGCTCATGCGGGTGCTGTGGGAGGAGCCTGGGCCCAAGTGGCCCCAGATGTTCTAGGATGACTAGATGCGCAGCTTGGACCAGACGAAGGGGCGGCAATGCATCCGGCCGGAGATGAGCCGGACGGTGAACTTTGGGGAGAAGGGCGTGTCGCAGTCGTTCTACTTCGAGACGCATGTGTCGCAAGTGGCGCTCGAGGACGAGAAGATGGACTTTTCGGGGCTCGACCTCGGGTACTTGGAGGCGGAGCGGTACCACGACTATGTGATCTCGCGCATGTCGAAGGCGGTGTACCTCAAGTATTCTAACTATCTCACGACCAGGCCGCAGGACAGAGACGTGATTGCGGTGTATCACGAGGACTCTTTGGATCCCATCACGAAGCGTATAGAGGTTATGGGCGACCATTGCAACGGGATGAAACGCAATAGCTATAAGGGGGTGACCATTATCATTTGGAATGGAAACTGGGCGTTCATTGTGCAAAAAGGGGTGGACACCGCCTGAAGGGTACCAGCTCGGAAGTGAGGTTTGCTGCTCTCGACGAATCGCCTCATGATTCACACGGCGTTTTGCGCTAGCTTTGCTTGAGAGGAGTGGCGATATCTGCAAACTCTCTGCTGCTGTGAAGTCGGACGCTAGGACTCTACGTCCTTTAAGCTTTAGCGCATCGTAAATTCTTGACAGTCTAAAACCAACATAGCGATGTAGGGAATCAATGAACTGATGTACAAACCCCCAAAAGGAATGAAAAATTCATTCAATACCCCATAAAAATACCAAACACCGGACACAAAGATGCACAAGCACATTTCGCCAACCTAGCCTGCTTTCAACATTTTGCTCACGATTGCTATCTTTGCATCTGCCTGGAACACTGAATCGTCGTAGCCTGTACCCTACACTAGACCACTTCGAATTCTAAGGGATGGTCCGGTGCAACGATAAAGCATCCTATTCTCCGTTCCCCATAAACGAGGTGCGACACAAAATCAGCAAGGAATTAGTCTGGGATGGGCCAAACACCAGCAACATAGACCAAGCGTATGCTGACATGTTCACTTCACCAATACGCATCATAGCAGAAGAACGCGAACAAAGGTTTAACATTTAATGATATCAAAATATGCAAATAAATTTCGAAGATTTTTCATTCAATAAATTAAGGACCTACAGCACTGTAACGTCGACATGAGATCATCAGCATTGCTGTTCTGTGACACTGTAATAGAGAGTATCAATGGAGAGTGACTCTGCAGTGATACATTCCGCCTTTTGAGATTGATTGATATTCTTATATCAGTTCGTTTTGGTGTACAGTACATGGCTGGGATGTCCGAAAATGGCAGGTGTAAGCTTCCTTGTTCACAATGTCGTATTCTTGTATGCTGTGTGTCGGGGACAGGCGATTTTGAGCTGGAATCGCACTTCCCGAAACGGGAGTTGCATATTATATTCTTGTACAATTTAAGGTTTACGCAGCCACAATTTCACGATTGTTTGTGACAAATCACGAGGTGTAATGCAGTGGTGCACATTTTCTGAGGTTCAGAAATTGGTGTTGCTCATTTTAATTTACGCAGCACTCTGCGTCAAGCTGCTTGTGAGTATTAGTATAGTAGCAAATCCAAAGGCAACAGCGCCACACAACGCATCGCCACTCAACAACATGGGTCTTGGTGGACAATCCGATCACACCGGCAATGCGGTTGTAGCTCGCTTGCTTGTTTGGAAAGGTCTGATTCCAATAATTTTCAAGAGAAGACATGAAGATCCCGCTTCCTCGTTCTCCGCTAACCTGCTATTCCTCATCGTAGCTAACAACTTACAACGCAAGCATCAGGAATATAACTTTCATGTTCAACGTTCTTTGCCCATCAGCCTTACTTCGTTTGATGATCACAGGTTTCCGTTTATGTCTGATGATGTTCTGCTTTCCCTATTCCGTTTCAGGCGCGAAGACATCACGCGTGTAGTTGACATTGTGGGCATGGCCGTTGCATCCTAGGAAGACAACGCGCAACAGGTACATTGTTACACCGCTGCTTTCTACATGCGTTGTGTTGCGGCGCTTAGCGAGTGCGACTCGTTGGAAGGATCTAGAAGAACTGTTTGATCGTCACAAGTCGCAGCTTTCAGAAATATTTTTGGAGGCGCTGATGTTGTTTGTTTCGCAAAGGGTTGATCTGGTTATGGGCGATGTATGTGCTCCTTTTTGGAATGAAAGATATGAAAGGTATGCAGACTCTGTCTATTCTAAAAGTAATGCTTTAGACAGAGTCGTTGCGATAGTACTAATCTGAAGATTGCGAGGCCTGGTGGTGATCATATTCTTCAGCGGGTTGCTTATAGTGGGCACAAGCGCACACATGCAATTAAGTTCCAAGATCTCACTACTCCGTGCGGTCTATGTGTGCACTTGGCTGGACCTATGGAAGGCCGACGTCACGATTGGACTCTGTATATATCAAGTGGCTTGGATGAAACCCTGCAGGAAGTATGCCACTACGAGGGAAAACAGTACATCGCCTTTGGCGATTCTGGATACAGTGCAAGGTGCTTCCTTTTTGTTCCTTTTAGTGGATCTAATCTATGCGAGGCACAATCGGCGTTCAATACCGCAATGGAAAAGAACAGAGTCACGGTAGAGTGGTTTTTTCGCGAGGTAAAAAGGTACTGGACGCTGGTAGACTTTAAACGTAAGATGAGGGTAAAGGAGTCTACCGTGGGAGCAATGTACATAGCAGCGGTTATTCTAACAAACGTTCGGAACTGCTGCTATCCGAACACAATATCTCAATACATTGGCTGCACTCCCCCTTCACTTGAACAGTACATCAATCATCGAAACGATAGCCAATAAAAAGTCGTTCGTACGGCTCCCAACCAGAGAGTGCGTAGCGAGGAACAAACTCCGCCTCCCGAGCGAAGCGAGGGCCGAAGAAGCGGGAAGGTTTCGAGATACAAAAGGCAACTAGGGTCTCCTTTACTGAAAAATGTTTCGAACGACCATACTTTTACTGCCGCAGATACACTTTATTTGTTGTCCGTTGATTGATGCAGCAGCGATCCAACGAGACCTAACACCGCTTGCATCTGCTTGCTGTTGTCGCTCATCATTTTCTTCATCGTTTGACGGTACGACTGCATTTCCTCTTTGCGCAGTTGTCTCTCTACCGCACGCTCTGCGCGCTCTTCGCGCTTCTCTGCCACATGACGATTTAACTTTTCCTTTTCAAGTTCAAGCCGCGCACGCTCGGACCCCTTCAGTGCCGATCCCAGCTCGTGCATGCCATCAGTTAGATCAATGCGGCGCTTCTTAGGTGCTGTACCTTCATCGCTGCTCCCTTTCCTAGGTCTACGTGCTTTGCCTTTTAAGGTTTGAAGGATCAGCTCTTTGCCCGCCGCCAACTTCCTCGACTCTTGATCCGCTTTATCTTTAGCATCCCCATCCTTCTTCGCCTCTCGGTCCGTCTTCGCTTCCAACAGATCCCCTAACAACTGATCAAGCTCTCCCAACTCCCCTCCCGTTCCAGACATATTTCGATCCCTTCCAGCGCGAAGAGCGTAATCTTCTAAAAGTTTTTTGAATATATCTTGTAAGTTCTTTCCTGTCACCTTGTGTCCGAAATTAGGATTGTTGTTGGCCATTTTTGATGCCTTTTCGAACCGCAAAAGAGTTTCTCCATGAGGAGCAACGTGTGCTTCTGCAGCAGCAACCTCCTGAGCAATAATCAAATCTTGAGCAGCTGTAAACTTAGACTTGCGACCGGGCTTAGCAGTGTGTCTTGTATTAGTCGGGGAGCTGGAGCCAGATCCGGGCTCTGTTGGAGATTTTGGTATCAGGTCGGCCATGACGGTGATGTGGCTGTCGATTCCTTGGCTGCTGAACATGTTTTGATCAAACAACAGTTCGCAACATTCCCAGATTTGGGGCAATTCATTTCTGGAGTCACTTCACAAACACCCGGCATTTCAGAATTTTTTTCAACCGATATTGCCCGAATTCAGAAACGTTTCCTAAACGTGCACACGCATTGATGAAATTCGTCAAAAATCAAATCTGAAACTTAGTTGCGTAAACACTATAATATAGTGTTTACGCAACTAAGTTTCAGATATTATAGTCAATGAATATTCTCTTAAAGTGACATTCTTGTACCGGGGATTACTGTATACACAAATTACAGTGAATGTACACAAAAATGGTGATATGTGTACACATAATTTGTGCATTTTGGGTTTCGAAGCCCAAAATACACAAATTGTGTGTATGCCTCCTGAAATCAGGAGGCGCTTATTATACCTCTCCTCTACTTATAATAAAATTTGCTGTAGCGTGAGAGCATCTCTACCGCGAGTCTATTCTCTAATCTAATGCCAAATTTTCAGCCGCAGAAAAAACCGACACTCTACCGCATGTTTCTAATCTATTGAATAGAGGTGACACGAAAGGACACCGGATTGGCTACCGGCGTAGCTGTGCTTGCCAGATGAGTATTCCCGGGAAATTGAACTTCAATGCAAACCCAAACACCCCCGAAATGGTATCGTCGCACAACGCTCCCCTCTCTCCGGTGCCTCTGCTCTGCTCTGTCTGCTCTGTCCGGTATGGGGCGCGGAAAGAACTGGGATGTGGAGGAGAATTGCGTTCTTGCTCGTGCATGGATTGCGGCGTCCGAAGACCCGATCGCTGGCACCGACCAGGCAAGAAAAATCTTCCAAGACACTATCCGCCGCCGCTTCACGGAGAAAGGTCCCGCACTGCACCTCGTTCCGGACGGAAAATACGGTAACCGAAGCGGGGCGAGCATCAAGCAGCATTTCAGCGATATGTCAGCTGACGTCCAGAAGTTCTTCGTCTCCCTCGGCAAGGTGAGCGCTGGCAAGCCCACTGGGGTTGGTGACGAAGAGGTGCTTTCAATGTCAGTCGCAGTCCATCTGGAGCACACTAACAGGATGGACTACAACTACAAGAACTTCGACAAAGATCAATGGCTCTACTACAAGGCTTGGAAAGTACTCCGTAACCATCCGAAGTGGTCCTGCGCACCTTCTTCAGCCAGCCCTATTACTCGACGCAAGAACTGCTACCGGACATGAGCCAACTGGCTTCAAGCGGAGGGCATTCAACGCAAGATAGTGAAGCGCACGAGACCGTCACGCCCACGAAAAATAAGGAGCGGTTCGGTCTGGGCGCCCGTGGTGCTAAAATGGCACGTCAGGAGGAGTTGAGGACACAGGCGGTGCGCGTTCTTGCAAAGTCGGCGAAGCGGAAGTCGGACGTGCTCGAAGAGCGTAATACGATTGCAGCATTTTCTCGACCAGAAGCTGCTAGCCTTCCCGAGACGGCACAGTTCTTCTCCGCGATCCGAGCAATTTATCTTGTGCAGGCGCTCAAGCGAGCCAAGGTCGCACAAGCGGAAGTTTGTGCATTGGAGCGGCAGTCGACAAATAATGCGAGCGACTTAAGAAGACCGTCACAGGCGCCACCCGGAGCCTCTACGCAGCGCGTTGACGTCCCTGTAGTACCAGAGCTTGCGACCACGCAGGGTGCAGCAGTGCTTCTCGAGGAGGCCTGAGGGGAAAGAACGTGCTGGGCGCTGCAAAAATCGCTTTGAATGGCAGTTCCTGGTACATATCGCATCCAATATGTCGTCCGTATCTGTGCGAATATACATCATAAAGATAAAGATGATACCTTTCATCCCCCGCAACCACACATACATACAGTATCTCCTATTGAAAAGCAGTCGTCATTGAGGCTTTCATCACCGCTTTGCTGTGTGTCGTCGCGCTTTCCCTAAATCATATCTTTCATGAAAAGGCGACTTTTAAGAAGTGGTCCCTCATGACCATGCTCGTTGTCGCCCTTATTGACGTGGCAGTACAATGGACAGGAGGTGGCGTGAACCATGCCATGTCATTTGCCCTTGCCGCACTTGAAGGCCATTAGGCCGAGCATTCTTTGTACTGGGTCGGACCGATGGTTGGTGCAGTGGTTGCAGCTTGCATGCACAACAATATTTTGAAAACTGGAAAGCGAGGCTTCCTCGACACCGCTAAGGAGCCCCCACCAGAGCACGCCCGGCCGAAAGAGACCAACCCTGCCCCGCTTTTGCCTTCGTCTCCTTCGCCGCATCCACCCCGCCGCACCCCGTCCCCGTCCTCGCCCCCGCCCGCGCCGCCGCCCCCGCTTTCGCGTGACCAACATTGTGAGGGGGAGCCCCACCCGCCGCGTACGGGAAGGAAGCGCCCGCGCTTTCAGCGCCACGAGTCGCATCGGGACCCCGACTTTCATCCCTCCGATGGCCATCTGAGGGAGCACCCCGCCTTGTCCGTCGAGGGCGCATACAGGGGTGATGAGCTGCATCGCGATGCCGTCCGCGATTTTTTACACGCTTTTACCCCGATCGCGTCGTAGAGGTGGCATAAAACTGTTTGGTCGTCACCTTTGAGCGGGACGAACAAAGGCGAGATGCGAGGCTAGACCACAGACGAGGCGTGAGCTGTGAACAACGACGAGACATGTGTTGTGAGCGGAGGCGAGACGTGAGCCCTCAAGGGAGGCGGGATATATGTCGTGAACGACGTGTGGGTGTTGAGAGGCAGGCGGGGTCGGGCCCCAGGGGTAGAAAGGTGGAGGAGGGGCGGAAGAATGATGGACAGGACTCGAGGAGGCCATTGGGCGGGATTTGAGTACACAGGGGTGGGGGGAATGCCGAGGAGGGTGGAAGGGATGAGTATGTGGCTGTTCACACGCCGGGAGTGCCCCCCGGACCCCGATGCTTTCACACATATGCACAAAGCAGATTGGTAAAAACAAGAGCTTTATTGATGCCCAAACACCTCATTGCCCCTAGACGGAGCCGTGAGCGTTCCATATATGCTCAATGAGGTCGCGTTTCAAGGAGAAGTGGTCCACTTTACTTGTTATGCGCGAATGACGTGACGATACCATGCTAGCCCACATTCCCGTCGGCAACTCACTGCCAAGAAGGTACCGAGTTGCCGACTCGGATTCCCACGTGAATGACTGACCTGCAGCGAACATAGCACGCGCCTCACTGAAGTGCTGCAGTGACGCCATGACACTTTGGTAGTTATCTCTTCGACTCTCCACAATCATATTGTGGAGAATAATGCACGCCACCATGACATTCGATACATCATTCTCTTCCAAAGTCTTGAAGGGTTCTGTAGGATATGAAACCGAGCGACAAGCACCCCAAACGCGCGTTCGATGTCCTTCCGTATCGCCTCTTGAGCCTTTGCGAATGCTTCCTCCTTTTTTGCCGTGTTGTCTTTTATTGTCTTCATAAAAATTGCCCAGCTTGAGTAGATACCATCGGCAAGGTAGTACGGCATCGTTCGTTGTTTTTCATTTAACGTGTAAGGAATGGAGGGCGGAAACTCATCAGCGATGATGCGCTCCATCGTTGGTGATCTGTCCAAAACGTTGATGTCGTTCAAGCTTCCAGGGCTACCAAAGAAGGCATGCAAAATCCACAACTCCCCGTCACAAATTGCATCCAGAACGATAGTCGGCTTCCTCTCCTTTCCCTTGAATTGTCCAGCCCAAGCTATCGGACAATTTTTCCATTGCCAATGCTGACAATCAATACTACCCGCACACCCCGGAAACCCCCTGGCAGCATTTATTGCCAGTATGCGCCGTAGGTCCGCCTCATTGGGCTCGCGTAGGTACTCTATTCCAAACTTCTGTATCACAGTAGAACAAAAGGACTTCAGTGACTGTAACACTGAGTCTTCAGACATACTCAGATATTCGTCTAAAGAGTCAGCCGCTGCTCCATACGCCAGCATGCGAATTGCGGCAACCACCCGCTGTAGGGGATGAATTCCTCCACGGCTCAGCGCATCCTTCCTTCTGACAAAGAATCCTTCGCCCTCAATCGCCCTGTACAGCCTGTTGAACACTGTGCGCGGCATTCTGAAACGCCTTTCAAATGACGCATCGCAATAAAGTGGCGTGGTTGAAAAGTAGTCTCGCTTGAGGCGGTTGAGTGCGGCACCGAAGTCGCGGTTGAGATTTCCTCTTTTCCCGCTCCTTGATCCTAGTCTAATGAGAGAAGGAATTGTACCTGGAAAACCAGGCAGTGTCCCAGAGGCGACGAGGTACGACAGGTTCTCGTCGTCACTGGAGTCAGGAGAAAAAGTCGGCGCAGGGGAGTCGTAGTTGCGAGAAGTTGCCATGGTAATAAAAAGGGTTGAACGGGATGAGCGCAGCGGTGCTGAAAGGATATGTACTGCGCGGTAGAGTTGCGCCGCGGCTCTATTCCAGAAAATCTATTCATCAATAGAGCAATAGAGTTACCCAATAAAAATTAAGCACTTGGCGAGATATTTTTGATTAGAGAGGCAAATACGGTCATGCGGTAGAGATGCTCTAAAGCTCTACAATAATTCTCCGATAACTCTGCAATAACTCTCCTGGTGTGCGACATGGAATAAATTTTCTTGTCAATGCAATATTCGTGCACTCTCCCGACTCATTTTGAATAAGAATGTGAGAGTCATATATGACACGTTGTAGCCACTTTTCTATTCAATGAAAGAGTTTGCTATATGATTATAGAAATGAAGAAGGATTGGGGGTTACAAACACTCGTGTGAAGAAAATAGATGACCTGCAAAATTGCTTTCTCAGCAGTAGTCAAGTGCACGAACCCGTTCAAACCCCTTTAAACTAAGCCATGTTATTGGTAAGGTTGCAAGTTTCCTTTCGGCGGTACTGTAGGCCCTGACGTTGCTGTATTTTTCGGGTCACTGGATTTGGTCCTTTATTATTTTACAGAGCAGAGTGTTTACCACTCATCCTCCGAGGCCGAGATCTTGCTCATCGTGCCGGCTTCGCTATCTCGCCCGATGTGAAACACACAGTACTCGCCCTACCTGTGTTTGCATGCGCGCCGAGTGTATGGTATTTGAGATCCAGAACAAGTCTGTCAATGCATCGGACGTACGCAGCTGGTCACCTGCGTGGGAAGGCACACGGATTATTATCTGTATGCACAAGGATACGACTTATCTCAGCTGCAAAGAAGATACTTTGCGTGCTACTGTACAAATCACCGAACGGCACGCACTGTGCAAGTTTCACCTTGTCCGCTATTCTCTGCGAAACGGGACCTGAACGTGGAAGCACAATTCGCGACAAGTAGAAAGTGAAAGAGGGGCAGGAAGGCTCTGGTTTCTACAGGATTTGAATTGGACGCTCTTTCCAAAGCAAATGATGGACATGGGGAAACCAGTTTTCTATTCAAGAATCACTATGCTGCCGTCGTTTGAGATTCTTTATGCCACATGTCGTATTCTGTCGCGGGCTAAAACAAACAGAACTTCAAATGCACAAGCATGTGCATGTACGACTCTTGTGCTACATCGCTGATTTGATCAAGGGGCTTGCGATTTCTGTTTGCCTCGAATTGATTCTATGATCTTGCGCTCTATCTGGGACCGCAGATCATTAAACTCGTCGAGACGCCACGTGCCATCTTCGCCCTTGACCAAGTTTTTATTGGACCCAAAGGCAAAATAGTCGCCGTAGCCTCGGGCCCAGTAGTCTTCACGCATCTTTCGCTCATTTTTCTCGCGGTTCGCGCGGGACTTTTCCAGCAGCTCTCGAATGATGGGACTCTCAGCTGCAGCAGCCTCGCAGCCAGGACCTTCGCCGCTGATGCATTGGTCAGCTGATATGGTAGCCCTGACGAAGTATGGTTGAAAGGTGGTGGAAATTCGCAAACGAAGGCGCTTAGCGGAAGAATGGTCAGAATCGATGCGGTATAGCTTGATAGGACGTCAACAGAAGGTCGTGGAGAGCAGGGTCGAACTGTCAAACTGTCGAACAGGTACACTAAGTTGGGTGGAAAATGGGATAGGAGTGTCAAAAAAGATTCGCAACGCACAATGCTGGTGACAGGGAGGTTATTGCGAGGATGAGAGATGCGGTGGTGGCGGCGATGACTCGAAGAGGTTGCGAAGGGGTGGAAGCAAGCATCCAGGTTGTACGTGGGCGCCTTGTTTGGAGGGTAGGCATTCTGTGATTCTGTGCGCTCGGCAGGAAGGGCGATGTTGCGAAAAATGCCAAACTAGTAGACATGGTGGCGGGCCTGAACGCCCGTGTGTTGATGCTGTTCATAGAGAATGAGAAGGTTGTTCAGTAGCAAGGACGATAGCACTTGCTGTCATCCAACATACCGTATTGGTACACCGCGCTTTGTCGGTCCCAATATCAATGGTATTTTGGCACTCTTTCGAGCTGTGGAGGTTACACGCATCATCCTGTTGATCTCCTGACCTCAGCAGAATAAATTGGTCCCTGGTGGCCGTGCAGCAGAAGGTACGATTTTTACCGTGGGCAAATAAAGGCCGGTGTGTAATTCAATATATGGACTTACAGCAGAGCAAGCCCAACAGCTCTTGAGAGCTGTTTGTGTCTGACCGGACAACCTTAAAAACGGTTAAATATCAAAAATTGCACTTTCCCCCGCCGCATAGATGCGTTCGCGCACTCTAGGATACCGCCAGCCGTCCTGCTCCCGCCCGCCCGTTTTCGGAAGCGATCGTCCCTGCCCCGAAACGCTGCTTCATAACAGCTTATTGCAATCGTTCTTGTCTGATACGGTTGCAAGGAAATCGGTTGTCACCTCCGAGCGGAAGCCATGGCCAAGCGATGTCTCGCTCTCTTCTCGGGATTCGTCTGGTACCTTCATCAGCTCACAGTCTAAGGTAAGCTTTGCACCCCGATCAAGCCGCGACCGCAACGCAATGCGTCCGAGTGATATTTTATCGAAATTTGAACCCTGAATTCTTTTGTGGACATTTGTTTAGTATTGTCTGACGGAACTCGCATCGCAACGTCGAGCAATCATTGCCTTCCCAGTTCTTCTAACCTTTCGACTTCTTCGTCCCTTCTATTCTGGTTAACCAGTACCTGAAACCACGCTGCCGAAGCTTGGACATTTTTTCAGCTAGTGTTGAGCAAAGTCGTTTTGGTGTTGTTGCACCGCCACACTGTGCTTTTGCCCTTGTTCAAGTAGATGACACTTTCACCATGTGCTAGGGTTCCTAGTAGACATGGCGCCTACGTTCTGCCTAACAAGTCATTTTTCGCTTTACGGTTATATCACCCTCGACAAATCTGGACCCTTTACACATCATCATCTGCAGTCGCCCCCGCCTTCCCGTTCTCACCCAGGCCGCACGCCTCTTTGTCAGTGCTGCGGAAGCCGCCGGCTCTGACATCGTCCGCTTTCTTTACGGCGCTGTCCGCTACGCACTCTTCATTCTCGCCAACCGCCGTGTGTGTGATCTTGATGGCAACTTTGTGCCCCTTGCCTGTGACGCCGCTCGCGCTCGTGCCACATCAGCCCGCACGGCTGTTGTCATCGGAGGTCGTATGCGCAAGGTAGTTTCTCGTAGCGACATGACCCAGCCAACCGTCAAAGCGCACATCCACCAACAATTTGGCTTCTCCACCTGGTCTAGCATTGCCTTCGCCATCCTCTCCGCTACACATTCTTGTCATGAGAATCTCTCCACCCCAGCGGCTTGCACAAATGATAGGTTGTGTCTTGTGCATTACGTAAACAAGCCACTGCAGATCTCTGACTGAAAAATATGTTTCACTTCTTACTTTTATTTCTGTATATTGTCACGTTCAGTACATCTACATATTCCACACATGATCTATATTCCAAATTCCCTCAAATGCCCTCAGGCACTTATGTGCGATTTACACCGGAGCAGGATATACCTCTAAACTGCTGATCTGCGGTGTCAAAAACAAATAGTCTGTTTCCGGGACAGTGCGTCAAATTCTCGTTCTCTGCTCCTTGCGGTACAGCGAAGTTCACCGGAGTGTTGGTGACAACTAAGAATATAATAGCTGAGACGAAGCCGGTAAATATGACAGTGAACACCCACCCCAGGCAAATAAACATAAATTGCTTCCAGTTCACTGTGGAGGCCTTGAACTCGACAAGACCAACACCCATTGTGGCACCGACTTGACAATGAGTAGTAGAGACGGGTAGTCCAATTTGGGACGCAATCAGCACGGTGATTGCAGCTCCGATCTCAATTGAGAATCCCCGTGACGGGGTCAGCTTCGTAAGCTTCACGCCGATGGCAACAATAATGCGGTAACCCCACATGGATAAACCAAGTACGATTCCAACACCGCCCAACGCCAGAATCCACAACGGAACGGTCTGCTTCTCCTTGTCGTAGGCTGAGTATGAATTTGGACTGCAGGTCTGAAAGCACTGCTGCTTTTCCCCTCCGTCATGTTGACCCGTTTCGTCATATACATCGAAGTTACTCCCTGGCCCCGAATCAGCGTTCGGAGTGAGGTCTGGGTAGTTGTCATCCCCTAGGCTAACACACCTGAAGTATTCATCCTCGCCGTTCGTACCGCAGAAGGTCTCATGATCCGGGATTTGGTCCCCTTCCTCAAATGATTGACCGTCCCGCTCCCCCCCTCTGTACTGACCACTGCTCTCAAATTCGTTGATCTGTCTGGCAGAAAGGACTCCGTTGTTTTTATAGAGTTGAAAGATAGAGGTGAAAGGCGCGATGGCATTGGCTACATCGTTAGCTCCATGTGCGAAGGCATCAAATGCGGCTGTGAACACTTGAATCCAAGTGAAAAGACGCTCAGCCTTCTCATCAAATTTCTCAGCACTGTTATGCATACGGACAACATCATCGTCCAGTTCTTCCTCAACATGGACACGCACTCCAACCTTGGCAAGTGCGTCGTTGACCTTCTGAGCCTTTCCGGCAGCTTCTTTCGCAATCTCTGGGTTCTTTAGCTTCTCCATCTCATGGGCCTCCCAACGTTCAGTGGCGGCCTTGGCAAGTGGCACGATAGTGAACCAGGATATCAAGGCGACAACTGACCCTGAACCTAACGCAACTCCTATGGACCCACCTAGTCCGAGCTTCTCGTCCAACTTGAAGCGCTTGTCACCCTTGTACACGATGAAGAAGACAGCAAGAGCAACTGCAAACCCGTAGAAGACAGGCATGAAAAGAATACCATTCTTGTAAGGGTTAGCACGTCTCAGCACAACTGTGCGGACAATCAGGAAAAAGAGTACAGCAATAACAGCGGAAATGACGGGCGATAAAACCCAAGACAAGATTACCCCGACAAGACCTTTGAGTTTTTCTATGCCCGCTCCATCAGAGATCCAGACCACTGCACTGGAGCCACGGTAAGCGAGACCGACACCGACCAAAGAGCCGATGATAGAATGGGTGGTGGACACCGGTAACGCATAGTAGGTTGCGAGAATCAGCCAGATAGTGGCAGAAAATAGTGCAGTAAGGAAACCAGTCATGAGAAGCTCTGGACCGTTAGCAGCGCCGACCCTCCCGCCATCAAAAGCGACGGGGTCGAAGACATTTTGGTCGATAATCTTCTTCCTGACTGTATCGGTGACCTGTCCTCCAAGGAGCAGGGCGCCAAGGAACTCAAAGATGGCTGCAATGACGACAGCCCACTTGAGGGTAAGAGAGCCGGCACCGACGGAGGTGGCAAAGGCGTTGGCAACATCGTTGGCGCCGATACCCCAGGCCATAGTGAAAGCTAGAATGCCGCCAACGATGACCATCCAGAGGTAACGGTCCATTGAGTCGATAGTGAACGCCTCGCCGACTTCGAATTTGGTGCCACCATTGACGGATTGGGCGAGTTCTCCCCAAGCAAAGGTCTCAGCCATGGTTGGGAAAGGCCGCGAAAGGCAGACGGAACAGGCCGGGGGGACGAAGAAGTGACGTGCGGGCTGGGGCGGGGGCGGGGGAGGGGGTGCGGCCGGGAGGGCGATGGATCTATCCTTGATGGATGAGGGGGGGGCTCGGGTGGGTGTGACGAGCGACTATGTAGAGCAAAGACAGAGCTCATCGGCAAATGCGAACTGCAAATGATTACGGCGTATGTACAAATACGAAGGGCTTCGAAAGGCGTTTGTTTAACGGGGGAATTGAATATGCAAGTGTGGATGAGAACGATTGGTGACGGTAATCACAAGGGGCGACAGGCGGTGTTGCGAGGCCAAGGAGAGGTTGGGCTCCAGTGGCTGAAACGGCTCCTGTGTATGACCAGTGCTCTCAACGGCGCGCGCATCCCTGATCTGTGCGCACACGACGCACGACGGTGCGCAAGCGCCCAGTGACGTATGAAATCATCATTCGTCACGCTTCGTATCATACACTGCCCTCTCATTCGCTTATCACATCCCCCACCTTGTCTCGGCCCACCCCAAGTTTCGGCTCTGTCCCCATATATAACCGGTGGACCGGTTGGTCCACCTTCCCCCAGCCGCCCAGCCGCCCCGTGTCATCGGCATCATGTTGGCAATTTGCCCCTTCGCCTTCATTCGCTCTCGTGAGCTCGTCAAATGGGTCTGCCAGCCAACCACGGCTCGCTCACAACAATACTGTACGCGTCGAAGGGCAAAACTCACCATAACCGGTGCATCTGAAGATGCATCTTGGTTTGTATCCCGTAGAAAACATGGGGCCAACAACGCGATCACTGCATTCATGCCAACCTGCTTCGGTCTCGTTCGCCACGTCTCCTGAACTGCCCGACCTCTTACCCTTCGAAGGGTACCTCCCTCATTTGTTCATCTTTTGTTCCGCTGACTGTGTGTTGCCTAGCGACTATCCCAATCTCTACTGCTAAATTTAACGCTCTTCTCAGCGCTCTTCTCAGCGCTCTTCTCAGCCATCCCGCCACCTTCACAAAATGTGATACGCCACTGCGCCACGCTGCCGCGCCCCGATAGCTATGCGTAAAGGCTCAGACACGGTAGTCGCCCTGCGACTTTCGCCAACCGTAGCAATTATGTTGTGCAGCCGTGGACAGCATCTGGGTACGACAGCAACTGGTCGAGCTGTGGACAGCTGCACAACAGAATTGCTACGGTGTGAGTATTGTTGGATGTAGGACGGACATCCGTCCAATACAAAAAAACCTTCCGCAAAGGCGCCGTAAACTTTAGGTCCGGGGACCGGCATCGACCAGTTGCTGTCGTGCCCAGATTCTGCGCAAAACCTTGCTTTGAGATTCCCTCTCCGACATTGTCGTCCTTCCTCTATATTCGGAGGCACAAGATTCACCACTTCACGTTGAATGGGCAACAATCTCGTCGGTGATCAGGCATTTAAGCCCAATAGATGACAGCAACGGGGCCAAGCGTGAATCTATGACAGTTCTCATCTGTAGTCTCCTCAATAAGACCTCGCATTTTCATTCACCCTTGCTGTCCGCTGCACTGTACATGTAAGTGCGCTGTAATTGTAATTTTTTGTGGCCCTTCAGGCATTTGAGCTCAGCCGTCTCAGGTCCGTTTTGGCCCTCAGAGCAATTGTCACGGCCTACTTTTAAAGATTAATGCCCCTTCCGCCCTTCGTATGTATGACCAATCCCTCCCCTGGTCTTTCTCCGCCGCACCATACTGAGTAATCCTTCTATTATCGCAAGACCGCATCTATCTACTGTACGACGCATGTCTGCGCGTCGCGCCCGGCTTGTTAACCCTGGCCGCATGTCAATACATGTCCCACTCTATCCTCTGCCCGGCCCTCCCGCAACCAGGGTCCTGTTGTATCCGAAAGGTATCCCTCTTCGGCACCCGTTCACTTCGCCCGTGATCATGGAGCGCAACGACGATACCGCACGAACCCTAACACATACAGCAGCATCCAATCTCAAATGATTCTAAGGCGAAATACACATGTCGCTGAGCTTTGTCTCTAATCCACAAATAACACCACTCTCACAGCCATATGCATAGACGCAAGCCACAAACATCCCTCGAGAATGCTTGACTTGCGACGACTGATTCTAGGCTCAGTAAGCTCAAATCTCTGACGTACCGGGCGAACGCAACAGTTTTTCTGTTCCATCCTGCCTGCATTTCACGCATCAGAATTCTGCGTCAGTTTCATCAGCAAGTCCTCAGAGATCCCGCATTACATCATTGCTTTCGTCCGAACTTGCACGCTGTTTGTGTTCATGAACCTGTCGCATGGAATCTATGCGAGCACTCACTCACATGGCTGCTTCCGGAATGGAAGCAACCCGTCGTTCTCGAGACTGAGATGTATAGATGAGCCACTGCACCGAAATGAAATGACCTGACGCTGTCGAGATGATGCAGACTATCTGGCTCACTTTTGAAAAATGCATGATATTGCAAGACTCATGGGTTATGTGAGCACTATGGTCAAGGTGACTGAAATTGATGAGTTCAGATGAAATTCCACTTTCTCAACCAATATGAATGAGAAAGGTACCCAAAGCATGGAAACTGAGTTCTTGGTTAAGGCAGACGATATCCTTTTGAGAACTGCCTGTCCTTCCGGGTCGTGTTTAGGGAGGTCCGTCGGAGAAGCACTCTTGAGCATATTTGAATCCTGCTACTTTGATAATTGAAAGTCTTCGTGCAACACAGTCTAGAAATGCCTCAGGGGGTTTCTAGTTCATTAAATCCATGAGCCCGATGTCACAAATACTGGTAATGCTGAGAGTTGAAAAAGATGGCCTCATACTGGACCAAACAAAGGTCCTCTAAATTCAAGGCACTTGACATAGGGGCAATGTCAAATTTATAGGTCGTTCCATATAGACAGCATGAAAGTAAATCTCACGTTATGGTCCATTTAGGGGTGTTTGCATTGCGTACAGCAAAAGGAGGACCTTGTTCCTACTGTTGCCTCACACCCTCAAAACAGTCCACCTCTCATCAAAGCCCATAAAACGTGAACAGAGACAGTCTAGTGTCTAGACGACAAGGGACCTCATATGAGGTCACTTTTCAACTTATTTTTCTCGACTTGTGCTAGCTCAACAAGATGGAAAAAGATACTCTCGCCACCGCAGTAGACTTCTGCGTTGCGTAAGGGTGGAGTTTGGTGAGATCTGCACGTCTTTTCCAGCCATTTTTATAATGCCCAAAAAAGGAGCCTTTTTGACAAACTTCAAAACGTTTTATGTTGATATCTTCGAAACCAAAACGCCTGTTTAAAAAGTCAACTGATCATTGTAACTTCTTTAGATTCTTAGTCTCTCTGTGCATTGACAACCGCCATCCCAATGTTTTGCAAGATGTTATTGCCGAGGGCGTATACGTTAAAGAAATGGTGTCCAAACTGACTTTTTTAAAGTTTCGATTTAATGTGTATTTTTTTGCAAAAAAAGCTGGCCTCATATGAGGTCAAATTGCCGGTCGTCTAGACACTAGTGCTTATTCTTTGTATAGGTCCATGTCCGGATGGAAGCGTTTAGGCTACGGCATCTTCCGAGAAATGACTGTGCCTCGAGCACTCGATAATCGTAATTAATCAGATTCTATACGGGAGCAAGTCTCTGAAGAATCTGCCGTACATTCAAGTCGGTATGATTACCTTATGCATGATATCAACTTGTGTGCAAGTCTCATCATGACTCGAACATACAGTGAGATTCCTTTTGAATAACTAACCTGGAAGCGATTCTGAACGAATTTGCGTCAGCCGTGAGCAAGCAATCGAAAATACTGGCAAACTCCCGAGGATATTGAGTTTGAAGATGTTGTAGAGATTCATTTGTGCTCTCTGGATTGCAGGTGAAAACCATAACCAGTTTAGTTTATTGGGCTAGCTACGTGATACTTGTATTTCCTGCCTCCCCTTTTCATTCTTTGGCAACTCTCAGGCTGGAAGAAAGAAGAGTCTCCTGGAATCTCCTGCGGAGAGGATTCCGTGCATTTGATTGCAATCAATGCAAAGCGCAGTGGAGGTTTCCAGTGCATCGCGTGCATTGCTGGAGTTCGTACAGTAGCAGCCTTTTCCGGACAATTACTGAAATACCTCTTCTTGGACACGTGTGCAATACTGTGATGCAATGTGAAGGGGAACGAAGTCTCGGAGCTCTACAAACATCATGCGGGAAGGCCGTCTCTGGAGATCTACAACTCTCCCGCCTGGGAAAGCGTGCCGACCAAGGCGGCAGAACTGGGATGGCGCAATGCACCAGAGTTTCTAGGGATTCCTCACGTGCGAAACAAGCTGTCATTTGACGCAGAACAAAGACAGAGGGGCCACGGGGAGAGCATCTACTTCGGGTGGGTCTGCATGAAGAATGGAGTTGGACCGCCTATGAGTTGCTCCCGCTTGTCCAATTTAGAGACTTCAGTCGGTTTGAATGCTTTCTTCGCGCCGGAAAATTCTGTGCTTTTGATCCATGATAAAATGGCATGAAGTGTTGCCGCTTGACCGAAGGAGAGGTATAAACATGTGTCCTCATGGCTATAACAATTGACTCTGTCGGACTGGTCCGTTGGTCCTTATCCCCAGGGCGTTTCCGTGTGTAAGGCAGAGCACGGTATATATTGTATGAAATAATTTTTTTATTTGTACGGACGGTTGCATGCAGTGACACGCCCTCAGGGTGTGTCTTAACATGCCCCGTTTTGAGAAGACACAGTGCACTTCTCACTGCGCACGGCTGACCGCACACGTGTTACGCCAAATTGAAGATCTCAACTACGTGTAGTCCCATTTTCCAAAGCCATGTGCGTGACCAACGGCATTATTTATGGGGTCCATGATTTAGGCTAAATCTAAGACGTACAGTACAGTATGCTGCGTAACGTCACAACGTATGAAAATAGTGGATGCCGATTTGATCCCAAATCAAAGAGCGCCGACGAATCCGCGAATGGGAAAGCGAGTTTGATTCGATTCGGGTTGTGGTGCTGAATCTCTGAATCTTTTTAAAACGTTAATTTAGTTTCCTCTCGCTCTTCACATGTTGTACTTCCCAAAGTGGCGGGAGCTCAGGCACAGCGCTGCGATAGTGCAAGACGCGGCCGGAGTGATGTGCGGCTGACGTAATACACAAGGGACGACGCCGCCATGTGCTCCACAGTTCAGTACCCGCTTATCTTAGCAGCTGGGTCAACACTCGCTCGCCGGTTAATCGAGCTCGCAAGGTCCTTTTGGTTAATGCTTCGCGCTCTTGTTTTGAATATCACACGCTCACTATCCCCACCATCCCTACGTCATAGTAGTGTGACATCATCCGGACGGTGAACTGTCTTCTGTTCGAATCTTGAATGTATCTCAACACAATTTCGGTACACTGCTTACCCTTGGTAGTTTGCGTGCAGCACTCAATGGAGGCACGTTCTCTCCCAGTACCTGTACGTATTAAAACTGCCTCCTTATCCACCCATACGTCTCATCATCCAGTGACAACCTTTGTAGAACTATACAACCGTTCCGCCCCATCGACCGCCACCACTGCTCTGTACAGGGCAATCCCACAAAGGCCAGCGTTAAAGGTTGTTAGCGTGGACCCGAGGACTGCATTACGAACGACACCATCGAGGCCACCTCAAAAATCCACGCAGCACTACGTTAATGGTGGCTGTAGAACTCTGCACGTATGGTACCTTGCAAACCAGACTGCTCAATGCTCCATCGTTTCCTCACACTGTACTAATATTCCTTCTGCCCATCGCCTAAGATTCCCTAGATTCCCTCCCGCATATATACCACGAAGCCCATCATAACTTCCGAAGGATGCTCAAACCCAGTCCTCGAGATTGCTATTCCTCCAGATATGTTTCGAATCTTTTGTCGACCTTACCTGTAAAAGTCATTCAATCATCTGCGCAATGCGCAGTAACATTATACAGATCAGAATTGCAATCTTCGAGAAGTGCGTTGATTTGCGGTCTACCGGCACGTTATCGTGTCCTTGTTTAGAGGCCATCAGGAACGATTTCACACATCATGGCATACATGTATCTACACTATGGAATTTTCATGCGAAATTTGTTGGACGACACAGCTCCGCTGACTAAGCTCCCTTTTCTCGAAGTCTGAACACACACAAACTGACAGGCTGTCTGTACAGTTGTACAGTTGTCGAACGTGTGCGACAAGCCGGATGGAAATGGATCTCTGGCGCGATCGAGTATGACTGAGAGCATGTGCGAGGACTGCGGCTGTGCAACCGTGCGATCTACGAGTTAATTAGAATGGCGATAGCTGCGTTAAGCGACGATTACACAGCAGCGGGCAAAGGGGGGTTAGTGTCGTCGAGCGGCCAACTTGAGCCTCGCGCAGGGACCGCTTGTGCGATCAGGCGGTTGGCGTGCTGGGCGGCAACGGAAAGCGGAGATAGAAATGGAAAGGGAAGGAAAGGGGTGATCCGGCGAATGCCTTCTCGGTGCGAACAGGGCTCCGGCGCAAAGCCTTCACAGACTTCAGCAGCGAAAATGCGTTTAACAAAATGTAGATGTTCTTCCAAAGCTAAGGGGCGGGGGCGGTCGTGCGCGCACTAGATGAAGGTCTGTGGAAGCTTGCCGTCCGCGGGGACGGTGAGCTGACAGCCCATGTTTTGTAAGGACTCTCCCGGTTGCCGGCGTTGTAATTTGTCGGCATACCGAGCGTGTGCGCGACAGTTAGCGATGGGCGATGGGCTTTCAGTGCACACTGAAAGTTCACGGACACCGGTGAAACTTCCAGTTTTCGCATGAAGACAACTGGTAGGGAAACCAACAGTAGCTCTGGGCCGGTTCTAACTCAAGCGAAATCTTGATCAATCGCCTTCACAATATCGTGGAGTTCCCTGGAGCCTATTATTAATTGGTTGGTTCGATGTTAATCTTTGACGTTCAACTAAATTTAAATCTCAGCGCTGTAAAAAGTGCAAGAGACCCACAAGTGTGGGTATTTGGTTGGCTCCTATTTTTGACATAAATCAGAAGGGGAGGTGTGATTGCTTTGGCCTGCTTGTGCCTTCAAGGTTGAAGGTAGCGTAAGGAGTGCCGCAAGTGACAAGCATCGATCCAGCGCAGGAAACATTGGGGATTGGTTTTTGGAGGCATCTACTGCAGGGAGCGATTCTATCTTTTGTCCGACCTTCCACACCTATCTTTCCTTTTTTATTTGTACTTGCGCCGAACCTCCCGCCCCTCGCGGCTCTCCATTGGTGGTTCTTTTAGCTGTGGCGATCGCGTGAAAATGAAAGGATTTTCGAGGCGTTCCCCCCGGCGGCTTGCAGCGGATAAATCATTCTTAACAACTCCAACGCAACGCAACGCTTCGACCGCTTCTGTGCTCTTAAGTGGGCTGTCGAGGGTTGCCGTGGACACAGGGAGCTCTCCAAAAGCCTTGGAAACCAGTGCGAGGAGAGCAGAAGCTGCGGTGGACGGTCCCGTCGTTCACGTTAAACTGCCGCCGAGAGCGCTTTTCGAAAATGTGCACGACGGACATGATGTCCCCGTGGAGAATAAGCTTTCTTCATTCTTGGCAAGGAAAACAAAGCGGGCAAATGGAAATGGAAATTGGAAAGGAGTGGAAGCGTCGTGCATCAGTAAACAGGATGGAACTGTTGTCCCGCAACTACCTTTTTG